ATGAGGAGACAGTGAAGGTGGAAGATGAAGAAGGAGAAGGGGATATAAGAGAAGGGGGAAAGAAAAGAGAACGAAACAGGGGAGATAACGAGGAAAAGAGAAGGACAGCAAAGCAAAAATGAAAGCAAGGAGAGAAGACTATATTGGAAAGTAATTAAATGAATAAAATAAATAAAAAAAGAAGTAATGCATAAGGGAAACGAAAAAACTAAAGTAAGGAAAAGGTTTAGGGAGAGACAAAGAGAGACAGAGAGACAGAGAAGAAAAAAAAAACGAAAGAGGAAAGAGAAGAAAGAATCGAGAAAGGATATAAAAGGTTAAGCATGCGGAATTAAGTAGCATCGCAAGACAAGGATAATGATAATGATAATAATAAAAATAACAATAAAAATGATAATGATAAAAATAATTAAAACAATCATAATAATAATAATAATAATAATAATAATAATAAAAATAATAATAACAATAATAATAACAATAATAATAACAATAACAATAATAATAACAATTATTATAATAATAATAATAATAATAGTAATAATAACAATAATAATAATAATAATGTTTAATAATAATATTTCTCCATATCCAATAATGACGTTTGCTAATAATAATAATAAAGATAATAATAATAATGATAATAATGATAATAATAATAATAATAATAATAATATTTAATAATAACATTTCTACATATCCAATAATGATGTTTGATAATAATAATAATAATGATAATAATAATGATAATAATAAAAATAAAAATTAATAATAATAATAATAATAATAATAATAATGATAATGATAATGATAATGATAATGATAATGATAATGATAATGATAATGATAATGATAATGATAATGATAATGATAATAATAATAATAATAACAATAATAAAAATAATTGATAATGATGATGATGATAATAATAATAATAATAATAATAATAATAATAATAATAATAATAACAATAATAATAATAATTATAATACTACTAATAATAACAATAATAATCATAATAATAATGATAATAATAATAATAATAATGATAATAATAATAATAACAATAATGATAATAATAATAATAATAATAATAATAATAATAATAATAATAATAATAATAAGTTTAAAAATAATGATACTAATAAACTCCCTCACCTGTAGTTCACGAGCATTATGGCGATGGGAACGAAGAAGAAAGCCGTGTTGAGGACTGTATAATAGATCATCTTGCTGGTGAACTTGATGACACACTGTCCATTGGCGTCTTGAGTACCGTGGTTGGGCCAGAATTCGTCACAGTGCCAAGTGGTAAAGTTCTTCCACTGGGAGAGAAAGAAACGGGTCAAAGGTCAAGAGGTTGTTGGCATGAAAGGGTCAAGATGGGTGAATGGAATGTATGTTTTAACGTGTGGTGGTTCTGTATTGCGCGTGTGTGTTGTGGGGTTTAAATTCGTTTTTTTTTTTTTTTTTTTTTTTTTTTTTAAGAGTGGGGTCAGTTTATTTAATCTTGGTTGATTAATTAATCTTGGCGGATACGAATGGTGGTTTATGTTGTTATGTTGGATATGTGTTTAGAGTTGAATTGATCATGGAATTAATGCGAAAGAGAAGTCATGTTATCCTGTTGAAAATCTACTGAAATTTGGGTTAGTGTAATGCTTTTAGGTCCAGTATTTGAAAAGATTTGATACAAAAGAAAAATATTTGTACAGATGAGTATATATTCGATGAAAAAAAGTCAATATAGTGTTTTACCATGGATATTCATATATAAAAAAATGAGTCTGAATAAAATTACAGTAATTTCACGGCAAGGGATTTGAATTAAGTATCTTTTAGACACTGATATGGCAATAGCATACAGAAAAGAGGAAACGATAACTAATGCAGAAAAATATACTCGGGTGTTCAGAATATAACTGCATATTTAAAACTTTTAAAAAGTTATATTCATTACGTGGAAATCCAGCCTTTAAAAGTCGCTATTTAACAGGTTTCCTATTCAGATCTTTACTAGGTTGTAATTGCCAATCAAAGCCGAATGCACAAAGACGAAGAAATGAAGGAATATTAATAGAATGGTTGTGACAGAAAAATTAAAAGAGAATTGTCAAAATGCAGAGACAAAGCGAGTTGGGATTAAAAACAAATAAATTGATACCAAGAAAAAAAATAATGAAAAATATACATATATAAACCAATTAAATAATAAGAGACAACCCCCTCCCTACAAAAAAAATAAAAACAATAAATAAAAATGAATTAAAAAAAAAAAAAAAAAAACATACAACCAACCAATCTCGACTCACCTGTATATTGTATGTATTCCGGTACACTAGTATTGGGCTGGCGATCGAGGCGGAGACAACCCACACGCCCGCGATGACCTTGAGTGCGCGGTCGGGGGAGGTGCGGGCGAGGAAGGGGAACATGACGGCGACAAACCTGCCCACACTGATCACGGTGAGAGTGAACACGCTGCCGAGGAGGGCGGTGGCTGCGAAAGGGGAAGGGAGACGAGGGAAAAGGGACATTATTATTGTTGTTATTGTTTTAGTTTTCTCTAGATATATGTCTCTGTTTGTGTGTCATATAGGCATGCTTGTATATGTGTGCAGGTATGGACACTCATATATATATATATATATATATATATATATATATATATATATATATATATATATATATATATATATATATATATATATACATATATATATATATATATATGTACATATATATATATATATATATATATATATATATATATATATATATATATATATATATACATATATATATATATATATATATATATATATATATATATATATATATATATATATATATACATATATATATATATATATATATGTATATATATATATATATATATATATATATATATATATATATATATATATATTTACATGTATGTGTATATACGTAGATATCTGTGCATGTATATTACAATGTGCATATCAGATATTTATTTATTTTCTTAAAAAAAAAAGAAAAAAAAAAGCAAGGACTGCCAAGACATCTTTTAAAAATCACTCGGCAGCTTAGCGAAAACACTAATCCCCAAGTGTAAAGATTTCGAAGTTAAGAGCAAACCTTCAAGGATCAGACGCGAGATGGGGGGGGGGAGCACGGTGTGTGTGTGTGTTGGGGGGGGGGCGGGGGGAGGTACCGTCGATGCACCTGTAATCTCCGTGCTTATGTGCAAAGTGCAACGGGTGTGTGCATGTTTACGTGACAGAAACTTAAACATCAACCGATCTATTTACGAAATTATCAATTCTTCTATCTATGACGTTTCCAATTCTGTGAAACAACTAGAAACTCATAACGCAAAAAAAAAAAAAATCGAACAAACAAACATGCAAATAACGCTATTTATCATGAAAAGAGACCATTCTAAAAACAAACCAAACATTAAAATAAAATAAAGAATAAAGATTATTAAAAGATAACAGCCAAACACTCGAAAATCAGGCCAAAACATCATCCGCGCAGAAACGAAGAACGGAAACACTAATACACAGAGTGGTCAACCGAATGACTTCCTGGCCAATAAAAGCTGTTTATGAACGAGAGAATGTTGCTCCTAATTTGATGCTCTTCATCACAAGTGCCTTAAAATCTTAACGGCCCGTTTTATAACCCTATAAGAATCTTGTCTGTTGTGTTCCGGACTATATTTTTTTTTTCCATTCATCGGGATTAGTGAAAAAATAATCTGCTTTCTTTACGTAGAGGAAATGGAAGAAGGTAATAGGTTAATGAATCGCTGTGATTATTAGGGGTGAGAAAGGAGGTAAAGAGAGATAGGGGTGAGAGAGAGAAGGAGAGGGAAAGAGTGAGAGAGAGAAGGTGAGTGAGAGAGAGAGACAAGGAGAGTGAGAGAATGAGAGAGAGAGGGAGGGAGCGAAGAAGAGGGAGAGAGTGAGAGAGAGGAGGTTGTGAGAGGGAAGGAGAGGGAAGGAGGGAAGGATAGACAGTTAGGTTAATAGACTTACAAACACAAAGGGAACGCTGATGGTAACATAATATATGTTCTACATTTTCTATATTTTTCTTGATTATAAATGATTTGTAGCAGTTATCTGAGAGAGAGAGAGAGAGAGAGAGAGAGAGACTGACTGACTGACTGAACTGCCTGAGTAACTGACAGACAGACCAATAGAGAGAAAGAGAGAGAGAGAGAGAGAGAGAGAGAGAGAGAGAGAGAGAGAGAGAGAGAGAGAGAGAGAGAGAGAGAGAGAGAGAGACATAAAGAGAGAGAGAAGCACATTAAATGAGGGGTATGAAAAAGAGAGACGAAGAAAGGAAAACCGACGATCAAAACATACACCACAAATAAAAAAAAGGAGGTGAAAAGGGAAAGAGCGAGGCTGCCGGTCCATTTGATAAAGCCTGTTGCCAGCCCTCGTAACTGCGTGGAATATGCAATAATAAACCTAGAGGAATTGACACACAAGCGTCATGAAGGCCCGGGATTCGAAATTATTACCGTTTGAATAAAGTCGGCGCCATCTTGTCTCCCAAAGGATTGAATGTAATATATCATTATTCCTCTCGTGGTGTTTTTTTTTTTTTTTTTTTTTTTTTTTTTTTTTTTTTTCTTTCTTTCTTTTCACTGATATGCTCTGAAATCATATGCATCCCCTGCGTGTTACGCCATTTCTGCTTTTTCTAAATCACATTTCTACCAGTTTTCTTACAGCACACGTACATACAATTACTGGATAAAACAATAATAATAATAACAACAACAACAACAACAACAACAACAACAACAACAACAACAACAACAACAACAACAACAACAACAACAATAACAATAACAATAATAATGAAAATGATAAATAAATAAATAAACAAATAAATAAAAACATGATTGTGAAAATTAGTCTTAGCAGTTCACGTAATAGAGGGTATCCGAACGACTCTCAAATGCAGACTTCGAGTAAAACGACGATGACGGAATAAAAAAAAAAGAAAAAAAGAAAAAGAAGAAGTCTTTTTCACACCATAAATCACGGCAAAATGACAGGCATCACACACCATTCAGAATATTTTGGATCTGGCGACGCTTGAAAAGTTCAGACTCTTCAATACGCTAACGAGACGATCCGGAGGCTAGAGACGATCGTAAAAAGAGGATCCAATACTCCTTCCGAACATCCGAGGCGCGATTCTATCCTAAGCGTCGCCGTTTTCTATCTTTTTTCCTTTCGTTTATATATATACGTATAGCGGTCAGTCTTCTGCCATAGCTCCGAGTGTGTCCCTGGTGATAGCTCTTCCCTTATGGAAAATGCAGCAATAATGGAGGTTCTTAGGAGAAGTAAAATTTTTTATGCTCTTTCTCGCTAAAGGAGGTAATTTCGAGTCAAAGGATTTTCTAGTTTTTCTCTTTTTTTCCGCGTGCTTGTGTTTCCTTTTTTCCCCCTTGTTTTTTTTTTTCTTTCATATTTCCTTTCTTCTTTTCTATCGGTCTATCAATTTTGCTTACATGTCATTATTTTAGTAAGAAAAAGATAGTACTGAGGAAGAGATAAAAAGAGAAAATAGAACGATAGTTTGATAACTAGGTGTTTATATAGATTGATAGATAGATAGGTAGACAGGTATTTATATACATATATATACCTATGTGTATATATGCATATATAGAATGATAGATAGATAGATAGATAGACATATATATTAGATAGATAGAGATACACAGATAATTAAATATAAATTGATAGACAGATAATAAATAGATAGATAGATAGAGAGAGAGAGAGAAGAAGGAGATCATTTTTTTTTAAGCGAAATGAGAGAAAGAGAGGGAAGAAAGACAGAAAACGGTGAGAAAGAGAGGAAAAGAAGGAAAACTTTTCTCTCTATCATTTAATTCCATCAACATTCCATTACAGTCCCTCCTTATTCCGTCCACGTTTCTCATATATTCATGCCTTTATGACTGTGTTTTCTTCCTTATGCCAGATCTTATCGTTCAGGACACTCTCATAGAGAGAAGACTGATAAGTTTAGTGGAAAAATATCATTAATAATTCTGTTAACTTTTAATTATCTATAAATATTACATGTATAACAAGCGTGAAAATAATTAAAATAAAGATAGAAATGAATGTAGTTATCAGAATAATTATTATCATGTGTATCAGATAGCAGTAACATTAATGAGGACAATAATAATAGGAATAAACACTGTATACTTATTATAGTATAATTATGGTGGTAATCTATTTCTATTCTAAAACTTTTAAAAAAATTCTTTCCAGGTGCATCCCCCCCCCCGTCCTCTCAGTAAAAAAAAAAAAAAAAAAAAAAAAAAAAAAAATCTGATCGTTTGATGTTTACCAGTTTCTTCACTCCACAAAGAGAAATTATTGAAGCCTTGCGTGATTAATTGGAGCGCGGGAATAAATCTGATGCTGTTTGATTTTTTTTTTTTTTGTGAAGAATAATGGGGAAATGTGATTTGTTTGATGGATTATGAGAAGTTAAATGTGCATGTGTTGTATAGGCATTGGCGTATACAGGGTACACACCCACGCACAAACACACACATACAAACACAAACACACACACACACACACACACACACACACATACACACATACAAGCACACACACAAACACGCACACGCACATACACATGCACGCACACATCTATATCTATCTATCTATCTATATATATATATATATATATATATACATATATATATATATATATATATATACATATATATATATATATATATATATATATATATATATATATATACATATATATATATATATATATATATATATATATATATATATATATATATATATATATATATATATGTGTGTGTGTGTGTGTATATATATGCATATGTATATATATACACAGACATACACTCACATACACTCAGCTTTCATGGTTGTCCTAAACTGAAATGTAACCAACTTGGTAGACTGGAAACCTCAAGCAGTCTCCCTTCGCTTTAAAAGTGTACCATCATGAAAGTAGGTGAAGGTCAGATCTTCATTATAACAAATCACACCCGCATACTCATTAGAATAAAGATAAAACAGAACAAGAAGTAAAAGGAAAAGAAAGAAAAATATATATATATAATAAAAACAAACAAAGCTAAAACTAAACTCATAACTATAATTTAATGATATAAACTCTTTTAGAAAGAAAAGTTAAATTGGGAAAAAACTGACACCCAAAAAAACATATTATGCATTTATTATTTAAATGTCAACGATAATCAGAATTAGTCTCCTAAGCTTATGAATTTGATACACGCATACTGCATAGTGTGTAAAGATAATAATAATAATGATAATAATGATAATAATAATAATAATGATAATGGTAATAATAACAATAATAATAATAATAACAAATCTCATGCGAGGATACTTAGATAAGAATTCTCCTTCCCAACTAAAAAAATCAGACTTAGATAATATATACAAAGAA